TTGGTGAATCCTTTTCTTGTACCCTTCTTCTTTCACTTCCTAGTCTACTACTGTAAGTAGACTCTACTCTGTAAATACACTTTTGAATTAATAAAAATTCTTTATTTTGTAGATACATCGATGCTCCCCATATACCCATATCTGAACATCCAAAATTGTTCTCCGTGTTTCCAAAATTTCAAAGAAAACTTTGAAAACAAGATACTTGTTTTCTGTTTCTTTGACTCAAATCTCATTTTTTTTCCAAAATTTAGAGAACAAAAATGCTAAACAAACAAGTTTTAGGTGTTTTCAAAATTTTAAGAACAAAAAACAATTTCTGAAAACTAAACCAAACATCGCCTAGTTTTTTTCAAACTACAAAGTTGAATTCTCTTACGAGTTTTTTTAATGACCATCATTCATAGTAAATCACTTTCCCTTTCATTTTCCAACTTTTTTAAATCAAACAAATCATTATCTTTTTATTTATTTACAATGGATCCTATTTTTTTATGTACAAGGATATGCTACTATTACGACAAAGAATCTATCTATTGAAATGAGTAATAATACCCCTATATTGCCCCAAAAAAAAAGTAAAAAAAATTCAAAATTCAAAAGTGTGAGTTCATTATCCTTTCCTTTCCTATCCTTTCTCATTTGTATTTAATTTTTTTTAAGGGAGGGGGAGGGGGCTTGAACCCTTGACTTAAGAAGGCAAAACCTTCACAAGACAAAGAATATCATTGGACCAAAGTACCATTGAACATTAGATTGAACCAAATGACCAAAGACCCTTGACCTTATCTCATTTGTACTGCATTTGGATCAAGATTAAGAAAAAGTGTGCTTCATATTATAATATATCAAACTTATGTTCGGATTAAGTTGTGATGCAGTAGTTGAAAGTGACAAAATCACCATTTGCATCCAATTCAATCCAAAACTAAGTTAAAAGTACTCTTGTTATTTTGAAACCACGTTTATTTTTTTTATCATCTATTACATGGAATTGATTTGTATCAAGTATATTTGACTGCATATTATCATGTCAGTATTATATTAAGTCATCAATCACCGCATTTAATTCCGTCGTAACTCTTAATACTCAAGCCAAATCAAACATGACTTAATCTAAAGGGTCTCATTACAATATCAAGTATTTTTTTTTCAACCAATGAGGTGGTGGCTTAGTTGGCTTTAATAGAGGGTGAAAGTCTCACCCTCCGCCGGTGGTCATGGATTTGAACCTGCTTGTAGTAATAGTCCTTATAAATCAGATATTATTGGAGGAGGCTCAATGTCCAATTTGTCCTTAGTGATGTTGTGGTGACGGACTCGATTATCTTAAGTCAATAACTATAACTCAAATCAAACTTTCTAAAATGACTAAAAACTTCAAGGTGGGGAGATTGCTATGTTTAGTCGCCCTGAACATTCTTTCAACTAGTAGAAAAAAAAATATTTTTTCAATGTTGAACCTCCACTTTTCGATTAATAAAAATGTGTCATGTGTATAATTTTTTATTTTATTATTATTTTAATTAATAATTACATATCAACTAATTCAAAATATCAATGTCCAAAATTAATAGAGATACGGTATCCAAGTTAGTACCATAGCCTTACCTGCACTCAAGGGCGAAGCCAAATAATCGTGTCAGGGTGAGCACAAATATTTTAAAAAACTATCATATTTAATACTTAAAATTTATTAAACTCAACAGACCAAAAATTAGTAAGCCTAGTATATATAAATGACAATAATACAAAAAAGATTGATTATATCTTTTTACAAATTATAGGTTAATTAAAATCGTTTAGAATTGACTTAAGGAATTTTCATCCTTAGAAACCATTGCATAACAACTTTATTATTTTTTATGTACATAATCATATTATCACTCCAGTATTTATCACTCATTCGATAATTAGTAAAATAAATGTCAAAATCACTAATAAACTAGCTAATATGTATATCATGTCATTTCTAATCTTAGAAAGTATAAACTGATTCTAGTATATTCAAAATTTATCTAAATTGGTACATAACATGTCCAAAATGTGTCAAAAATTTCATATTCATGTGATATAAGTATACACTAATTGATGTGTCAAAAAAATAAGGTGGACATAATTAAAAATATTAAAGAAATATTTAAAATACATATAGGTAGTATTAAAAAAAAATTGAGGATACATTCAACTGGATTATGTACTCAATTCGAGTCTTTGGTTTAAGTGATGATGGGACCAATTTTTTTTTTTTTTTTTTTTGAGATAATGGGATGTGAATACATTTTTTAGAACTTATTTGGCTTTAAGTACTATCTCCAAACTTATTCTCTTTTAAGTTCTCTTTTTCAACAAATAGTTGTCAATAAGTACATATTTTAAAATATTTTCAAATTCTTTTTGAAATGTATTCCATAATTACTCCTACCATAAATAGTGCATACCTAATTGACATTTTTTATATTTCCAATATTTAAATATTAGAATGTGAGACTTTCAAAACTCCTTTTAATATTTGTGTATCATTTGAATTTATATATATATATATATATATATATATATATATATATATATATATATATATATATATATATATATATATATATATATATTAAACAGTAACACGCTCAACAAAAAAATAGTAACATTAAACAGTAACACGTTCAACAAAAAAATTGTAACATCAAGCAGTAACATACTCAATAAAAAATTTAATTAAAAATTTAATCATTGTAATAAAGTGACATCATATGTGAGTATTTATTCTGTTGTGGAAGTGTCACTCTATTACAATGATTAAATTTTTATTGAGCATGTTACTATTTTTTTTGCTGAGTGTGTTAGTGTTTGATGCTACTATTTTTTTGTTGAGCGTTTTACTGTATGATGTTACTATTTTTATGTTGAGTGTGTTACTGTTTAATATATATATATATATATATATATATATATATATATATATATATATATATATATATATATATATATATATATATATATATATATATATATATTTGTTGTATTAACGCTAACATAATTTTCAAGATATGAGTTGTTAATAATAATACAATTCTCAATATAAGAGTTTTTTATTTTTTTCAAATAAGTTTTGACTAAATATAACTATTAAGGGTATTTTGGATAATGTAGATCAAAATAAACTTATCCCCAAATAAGTTTTTTGAATATACTTAAGTTCAAATAAGTCTACAAAAAAGGACCGGCCTCCCTGAGCCCCATTTTTTTTTAAGTAGGCTTGGTTTTTCAATTTTTTTGGGTGGATAGAGGTGGGCTTAACACTTTTGTCTTTAATTTTGGATTGACACAAATAATATATTATAGAGTCATTTGGAAGCCGGTACACTAAATTAAACATAATTGTAAAAAAGTACACATAAAAAAATGTGTTGTAAAGAAGTACATTACTGAGATATAAAAACTTAACTGCCCATTTTCTAAAATTTATTTTTCTAAAAACGTTTTTAGGAATATATCTTAACATTAATTAGGTACACAGTGATAAAATTTAACCGCTGGATTTTAGAAATATTACTTTTCTAAAAACGGTTTTAGGAATATATCTTAACATTAATTAGGTACATAGTGATAAGACTTAACCACTAGATTTTAAGAACATTAATTTGCCAAAAGTTTTATCTTCGAAAAATAGTTACCGTTTCTTTTTTCTATCCAAAAACTGCTTCATCTTCTTCGGCGAGAGGTCCTAAATCATTCCCTGAACATCTATAGGGTTTTGTCTTTGAAAAGAAAATCTTACTGGTCTGCCATTATAGATGTAGGTTCGTATGTGTTTCTCGCATAGTGTAACAATACCGTGTAACACTGTAATATAGACAGTGTTAAGTAATTTTGTGGATGTGATAACAAATTCAAAACAGAGCTAGACTGTTACAATTAAGTTATATACAAATATATGTTAAGGAAATGGCTTAGGCCAATTCCTAGTTAAGTTTGGTATAGAGAAAGTACTTGTGAAATTTTCTTAGAACATGATATTATGTGGAAAAATTTATGTGATAACATGAATTGTTGCCTTTAAGGTATTTTGCTAAATGCTTATGTGAGAATTGAGTTTGTTATGACATGAGTTATGTATAACATGTTTGTGGTTTGTGTTGGATATAAATGTTAATATGTGCTAGTTGATGTATTAACATTGTGATGAATTATGGTAGTTATATACTAACAATACATTATTTTGTGTAAGTAAATTTTTACTTTGTTATTTTTACACTATAAACGCATATACATGATGAACTTTGGTTATGAAGTTCGCATATAAAAAACAGTATAATCACCTTTAAAATGACTAACATAAATCTAATGGAGTCATAAATTCAAATTTTGTAATTACTTAGATTGAATGATACAGATGAAATAATGTTTCGGACTTGCACTGATAAATTACTTCCAGACCGACTAAGAAGATGACAACGGAAATTAAGGAGTAAAATTAGGAGATTAGGAAATAAACAGAAGAATTAAATCTTACATTCAATTAAGAGATTTTTAATGCATAAATATAATTTGAAAAAAAAGTTTTCAAAAATAATTGCATAAATTAAGGGATGTCACAAATGTTACAAGAAAATATGAAAATTTCAAATTATATACTTAAATACAATTAAGAATTTTTTTACTCTAATTTTTTTTTCCTGTATATTTTTTTATAATTAACCTCAATTTTGTGTACCGCTTCCAATTGTCCGTATATTATACATAAGTAATAAAAAAAAAAAAATTGAAGGTGGCACTTGCCCACCTGGACCAAGCTTAGCTCGGCCTTGCCCGCCGAATGGTAAAACCTTACCCTTCATGGTAAAAATAATGAAGCTTCAACGACGTATCCTAAAAGCAATGCAAAGCACTCTCCCGCGTTGTCTGCGCCATCTTCTTAACGTAGCTTCAACGACTTTTCTATAACCATAAAAAAAGGCAACCTGACAATTTTGGCAACACAAAAGGAAACCTTAGCCGCCCACCTCACACCATCACCTGGAATCTTCCCAAAAACACGTAACTCCTTCCGCAACCCTTTTTTGGCATCTTCCATCCCTCTTATTTTTAGCATTTCCCCCCCAAAACCCCATTAAGATTTCTCCCCATTTCTTCCCTTTCAACCTCTCTACCCATCCTTTTGTCTCTCCTCTCTCTATCATCCTTCCGCCTCTTTAGGTACGTAATTCTTGACTTATGACTTTAATTTTGAAATTATCAGCTTCATATTTGTTCATTTTCTTATAAATTTTCTTGTTTCTTCTTATATGTTGGTTGTGATTATATAGATCGAGCGATTAATCGACCAAGTTGATCGCTCAAAACATATTCGATTACCCACAAATTTTGAGGTGAAGGGTTTTTGGATTTGGTTGAAAATTTGATAGAGATGGCGGAGGAGCAGAGGTGGCAAGAGCCAGGAGGCCACAGACTCTGCGCTAACAATTGTGGGTTCTTCGGCAGCCCAACGACTATGAATATGTGTTCAAAGTGCTACAAAGATCATTGCATAAAGGAGCAGCAATTTTCAGATGCAAAACTGGCCGTGGAAAAATCTCTGACTCAATCCGAATCGTACTCGTCCTCAGCCGGGTCATCTGTTTCCGTTTCTGTTTCTGCGAATCCGCCGGAGGTTTCTGTTTTGGTCGGCGCGGTGGCGGAGACGGTGGCTCCGGTGACGGCGGTGGGGCCGAACAGGTGTGGGACGTGCAGGAGGCGCGTGGGGTTGACGGGGTTCAAGTGCAGGTGTGGGACCACTTTCTGTGGGTCCCATAGGTACCCGGAGCGACACGGTTGTTCGTTCGATTTCAAGGTTCTGGGCAGGGAGGAGATTGCGAAGGCCAACCCGGTTGTCAAAGCGGAGAAGCTTGAGAAGATCTGAGCCGTTGATTTGATGATGGTGTGATCCTGCGGTGGGCATTGATGGAAACGTTGGGTGGAGGGTGGGGGTTGGGTCATGGGGTGTTGTGGGAATGGTGGATAGACTTTCATTTTCTTTGTTTAGATCATGTAAAACGGAATATGTATCATTTCCATGACAATGTAGGATTTTAAATTGTTATTACACATGTTGTTGCTTTGTGGTTGTAAAATTTATCAAACATTATGTCCCAAAAAAAAAAAAAAGGATTGATCAAACATTAAAATAAGAAGGTTTGGTCTAATCCTCATGGTTTGGCGGCTGGTCGGAGCCAAGTTTCTCGGTTAGGGGATAAAATGCTACTAAAATTTCTTTACCAGTTGATACAATAAAATTTTAGGTTTAATAAAATATGTCAAGATTTAAGACTAAATTATAGTATGAAACTGTAAACCAGTTTCTTTTTCTCTAAACAAAATACATACAAAAATTTTCAAAGCTGGAACACTATTTTTTCAAATCTCATTCACAAGTTCATGACAAAATTATACCTCATTTGTTTGCGACATTTAGTTGAGGTAAAAATTGAATCTTTGAAATAGAAAAAAATATTTTTAAATTAAAACAAGTATCTTACAGAAAAATAATTGAGAGCACTTGCACAATTATATATATATATATATATATATATATATATATATATATATATATATATATATATATATATATATATATATATATATATATATATAAAGTTGGGGATAATTCACCAAATAGAAGAGATGTGATGTCGTTGATCATTATGATATGTTGCATATGTCTTACTCAATTAGAAATTGGTTTTAGGGGTCAATGGAGTACTAACTTACTAAAAATAAAAAGTGTATTACAACTACACAAAGTTAAAAAATTAGGGGAGAGGAAGTTACGGCGAAGCCAGAGTCTCTTTCAATAGAGACAACCATCAAGTTAAAGAGAACGACTACACAACAATTATCAAAATTTGTTTTATCTTGTGAACATGATTGTTTTATCAAAATTTCATTATCTATAATAAATAAATATTCCTAATCTATTAACTCCTTTTATAAAAAAATTCTTTATATTAATTTTTTTACTTTCAAAGATTTCACATATAAATACACATGAAAACCTGGTTAAAAAAAATACACGTGAAACAGATAGGACTTAACTAAGAAAAACTAATATAAATATTTTTTTTGTATAAAATACTATAATAAATATAGTTTTCATAGAAAAATACTATTTTAACATATCACTTTGTGAGTGGGCTTGCCAATGCTAAGATTTTGACTCATCTGTATGAAAATTTAACTTGCAAACTCTATTTTGAATCTAATTTACTTATTCAAATGATTTTGTTTTTATAATTCACATTCAAATCCATTAAATATTATAAATTTTTTCAAAAATCCAATCTAATATATATGTTTATCACATTGTAATTTTAATTCAATTTTATCGTTTAGTTTCATCGAATGTTTAAATATACATATTTGTGTATGATTATTAAATTGAATCACAAACAAATCAAATTTTGTTATGTCTAAATCTAAAGTCTTAAAAAATGATATAGTATATTTGAACTTGGATAATTGGTCAACAATATTAATCTATGTTTTAGTAATCAAATTCAGAGAATGATTGATTCAGTAACTTAAGTGGGTCATTGCAAAAGAAATTGGGATAACTAGAAACTAAAGAAAGAATTGTGAGATTAATTTTGTATGAGCGAACCTTGAGTCTATTTTTTTAATTCATTAAAAAAATGAGTGGGGGCAATTTATTAAAAAATTTAATTTTTATTATAATTTTAAACTAGCTCTAAAAATTTTCAAAAATTCAGTGGGGGCAATTGTCCCACTGCCCCTGCCTCCTTGGGAAAGGAGGGACAAATTCTTAAAATAAACAAAATCATGGTCCCAAACTATTATCATATAAAGTCCAAAGGTGACTACGCCGTTGAGTATTGGTCTAGAAAGCTTTTCAGCCTCATGTTTCGTTGATCATGGTACAAATGCAATTGCATATTCAAATTGGTTGTGTTCTTTGACTTCTTTCCAAACATGTTCTTCTATGTTAATGTTTCTTCTTTTTTGTAGTGTAGAGGAGAAAGAAAAGAAAAAGGGAACAAAATCTACCAATCAAAGAAATCACGAATTTTTTTACTCCTAAAAATGATGGAACTTTATCTTGAAGGAAAAGATTAGTAGAAGTCTGGTATGGAGTTTTTATTCTTATTATTTTCACCCTTTAATGGCTTGGTATAGTCATGGCATTCAAGTACGAGCCCAATGATACCCCAAGCAAAGGCCAAGATAAGTAGGCGATTGGAAATGAAAGTTTCTTTTTCATGTCCATTCTCCATTCCACTGTTTGAACAAAAAATATCACATGCAGCGATATACAAATATCTAGTGCATGAAACCACGATCTGATATATACATTTTTATATATAAATTTAATATAGATATAAATTAATCTTGATTTGCAATTAAAGAAAAATAGTGAAAATAGTTCTTATATTGTAGTTTGGAATAAACATTTCTTTGTGGAGGAACGGAATAGTAATTTATTCCTATGGAACATTTAGTAACAAGAAGATTCCAAAGAAATCAAATTAAAATAAAAGGAGGTCAGATGTTCCAATTTCATCTTGGGTGATCTATCCATGTTTTTCTTTTTTCTTTTTTGGAGGGAGGAGGACTTGAACCCTTGACCTTAAGAAGACAAAATTTTTACAAGACAAGTAATAAATTGAAGTCCAAACCAACTAATGAAAAATCAGCGAATTAGTTGTGGTTAAGGGTGTACAGCTAGCTCATGCCAATTTAAGGCCTAGAGTGAAAACATTAAATTGAGGTATTTTTATTGTTAGTATTATTTTAAAAAAAAATTAATTTATTTTTAATTTTGTACGTGAGAAGGAGACAAAAGAAAGATGTGTTAATGTTATCAAAAAAGAGATTTTAACTTTTGTTTTTATTTTTTACTACAAAGAGGGAGAAAAAGTGTTTAATTTCAACTTTTGTTTTTTTTTTTTAATTTTTTTTATTAGAGAGAGAGAGAGAGGGTGTGAGTAAATATTAGTTGACTTTTGAGTTTTTTTTTTTTAATTTTTTAATTTCTAAGTTTTTATTGTTACGGACTGAATTATATGCCCAAATTATTACAATAAGAATTTTGATTGAATTTAATTTTTTGGGTTTTTCTTGTAGAGCTTAAAATTTAATGAATTTAATTTTTTTGTGTGGCCAGTGATGTATATAAAATTATGGGACCTTCTACAAATTTGGGACCTGAAGTCCGTACTTTTTTTCCATAACGTTGGACCGGCCCTGGGGGGTGAAATGTCACTCTAACCCAGACAGTTGGTTGAAATGGTTGGGAGTGAAATGCCACTCTATTTTGGTAGTGTACATGTTAGAGGTTGAAGGTAAAACAATTGTTACATATTACGACTATACTAATTCCGGACTATACGCCATGATGGATGGTATCCAGTCCCGTCCTTTCAAAAAGACTGTCACTGTAAATTGAGATGCCAAGGACAAGTCCTCAATGGAGTGGATGCAAGCTGAATTGGTTCTAAGTTTTGCGACTGATCCATTATTTTTGTATTCTCTAAAATACACAGTAGGCGGTGTAGAATCATTTACCGTCCAACCACCAATTGAGGCATCCAAAAAGGACTGCATTACCACAATCCTTGAATATATGCAACTAAAGGATCACCTAAATAAGTATTTGTTGACGAAGGTACTACCCCGCCCATGGTATAGAACTCAGAGAGATGAAATACAAAACTTGTTGACAAAGTTTGACTTGTTCGGGATGGCCTAACATCACAATTTTTTCTTCAGGGTGCTGTTTAATAGCACTAACCATACATTTCTGGAAAACTGCAGATGCACCTCCAAAGATGAAGTAATGGCTGCCCTGAATTTGACAACTGTGGTAAAATTGGCTCCTTTCGACAGCATTTATAGTGGCATTGTAGCCCACAAGCCTACATCAATAGAAAATTGATTCGTGTGCACAATTTTCAAGTGCCACTCTTAAGATTCTTGGCGAGCCCTGTTGTACTTTCAATCGACAAGTCTCGCGCCATGAATATGTTTCCCTTAATCCCCCTACAAATCGAGGTCCAATGTCAATAAAATTCAGTGGCGGACAATAGCATGTGTCAATTTATCAAAAAAAAACTATAGCATGTGTCAAGACTATCATTTTCTCAGCAGTAAAGATACATTGAACAACACTAAACTTATCTAAGGCAAAGCAAGACAAAAGAACTATAAATTATCAAATGAATAAACAAGACCGGTATATGTTGTTAAGAGTATGAGAGAACACAAGTCATTCAGTGTTGCAATGATCTAGCATAAATGTAGTTGATTAATGGTTGAAAATACAAACAGAAACACATGATGGAAGTATGTAATGTCGCAGTGTGAACTGTAAATATTAAATGGATAGTTATTTAAAACACAAACAATCTGTTCAAACACTGTATAATGCTTACTTTTAACATGAAAACTTATGTTAACAACTAATAAAATAGGAACTGTAACATGAATATTTGAATATGATTTAGAAACTCACATAAGATGGCTGGTTGTGCACTATCCAGGACCTCTTCAATAGTGCGGTTGGACTGAATAGTTGCCTTTCCAATACCGTCACCAATGAAAACCAAATTTGTTTTTCAGGCCCTACAAAAATATCTTCATTGTATACCCCTCTTCTAATGAAAATTCAAAATCTGTAGGGGCTGTACTTTGGGGCCGCTTTGACAGCTGCAGCTATCGAAGAAAAGCCCGCCCTTCCTTCTTTTGCAACAAGGATCTTGTCATGGCACCAAGAGCTGACGTTTCTGTATCTTAGAACAACCGCAATCTGCCAGATCAATACATCAGTGATGGCCAAAGTCATGATAATCTTTGCAGCTCTTGAAAAACTATTCGGTGCAAAATGACTACTTGAGTATTCGAAGGAGAAAGACGAGGTAAAGCTAGTACTGAAGGTGACTGTGGCATCTCTTGTGGTGACTGTTGATCCATTTCCATAACAGAGAGAAGAAGGTGATGTTGATAATGGAGGTTGAGGTACCAGCAGAGGAAGCTGCAGAATGTATAATAGGTATTGTATTATAGAGGCACACACATACGCACTTAGTTGTTTTTTTTTCTCTTGCCCGTGCCTTTTACAACCTAAAAAAATTGTTAATTTGAAATAATGTTTACTTCATTTTCTTTAATATAACTATTTTTCAGAAATTTTGGCAAATTTTTTTCTAAAAATAGGAACCTAGAAAAATCTAAACCTATCTACAAAACTCACAATTATACATAACAATAATACACCGTACTACCACAATTTAATTCTATTTCCCTCAAAATCAATGACCAACGCAACCAACAATTCACATCAAACCAAACATATCTTCATAACCATGCGTACTTAATTCACCGTACTAAATACGGTACAAACAAAACACATGCAAACTACATATTATATCACTACCAACTATAACATTCAACAATTAACAAATCCTTAATTCAACACTTAAAAAACGAAATTGAAACTCAAGCGCAATGAAAATGATGTTCCTACATTTTATCAACCTACCAACTAAATCAGAATTATTAACCACATTGCAATAAGCTCCATGTGGACATTGAGATATAACCCAATCTCAACAACTATAAGCTCTACCAGATTAATACCTCATGCAATTAATGGTGTCGCCTCGTATTTGTATAAAAAAAATAAAAATATATGCTTCATGCAATAAATTGAATTAAAATCGAACAGTACTTTATTGCAAATGATTATCTAACTGCATTAACATATAGGAGCTTAAATTTAATCGTCCAAATAACATTTTAATCACCGACGCAATACCTTAGCACGTAACTGCCAAAAATACAAAAAACAACAAAACCTCTAAAGTTAATGTATGTGCCTAACAACATTCTATAACACAAAAAACTTGAATAAAAAAATAAAAATTCATTGATATTAATTGAACAACCATTCTTACTCAAAAGTACATTTCCAAAACTCAAAATTAATGACAGTATCTCAATACCAACAAAATTACAATCTTAGTACATTAAACCCCCCCAGTGTCACCCCTATACAAAAACCAACAGAGTGGCTTGATCACGTGCACCCAAAAAAAGAGAGGTGATAATTCATGATCTCACCAACAAATATTACCAATTAACATACATGTATACCATACTTAATGTCCCTCCAAGAGCACGCCATCTTTTCCCATCAAACCCCACCAACGACCACGACCCATTTCCTCCTCTTCCCCTTAAAATCATGATCCATAAACTTGGCAAGATATCCAACTTTAGCTATGAGCATCCTGTAATTCAATTGTCTGTGTAAAAAGATAAATATCTAGCCCTTTCCTATGAATTTCTCAAGTGCATTGACCCATTCAATTGACAAAAAAAAAAAGTAAACAAATCAAATTTCGAATATAAAAATGATCTTATGAATCTTTCATTGCCTCAAATAACTAACTCAAAACACAATTGAAAAACATTAAATTAAAAACCTGCAAACATATACAAACTCTCCAAACATTCTTTGCATATTAACAACACTATAAACATCAAAATATAGGTTAAATATCCACCAAGTTACACAACATTTAGTGATTCAATTCTAAAATCAACTATCAAACTTTGCCAAACTATCCAAATGCCAACACACCCATAAACAAATTAATACTATTAAATTGATCAACAATCTAAAAGTGTACCCAAATCATAAATTGAAGAAGCATAAAGACTTAGATAGCTATGATTGGCAGCGCATCGACGAAGTATAGAACCTTAGCTACCCACAACAACATTCATTTCTTATACCCAATCAACGGCAAAATATTCCATTCGATTGAAACTGAAATGAGAATAAACGAACAAAAAAAGTAATATTAATAGCCATCTTTAACCAAAACTTAGCATCAAATGAATACAAAAATTAAAGGAGAAAAAAATTAAATAACAAATCTAAGCAGACTAAATAGGGGCTGTGTGTGTGTGTGGGCGGGCTGTGTGGCATGTGGCGTGCGTGTTGTGCGTTGAGTGTTAGGGTCATTTGATCGAACACCTTGTGTTCATTTGGTCGAACACCTTGCATACGATATGTGTGTTGTGCGAAGAGAGAGACAGAGATACATAGAGTCGTGTGGTTACAGACGTAGGAGAGAGAGAAGAGAAATGGGGAAGGGAATAAGAGAGAATGAAAGAATTAAGAAGAGGGGAGACGCAAATTAGGGCATCAATGGGGGTAGTTTGTGCCCAGAAAGGATGACAGAAATAAGGGGTGGGGAGGGGAGAAAGAAAACTACCTCAGAGAGATGCCGGTGTCGTGGTGGTGGCGCTGGCCTTCTCTAAGAAATCTGGTTATAACCAAAAGAAAATCAGTTGAAAATCATGGGCTTGATTTGTTGGCGATGGTTTGCTTCGGCTAAGGGTTAGGAAGCATCGCCGTCATTATTGTTGGCGATGGTTTGCTTCAACTGAGATGGGGGTGGAAGAACAGAGATGAGGGTGATAGAGACAGAGGTAGAGGAGCACAGAGAAGGGTAGAGATATGAGGGAGATGGGGGTAGAGAGAGGGTGGGTAGACGGGGGAGAGAGATGAAGTTTGGGGAGTGGATGAGAGATTGAGGCTGCGAGGGGTGAGGTAAGAGGGGTCTGGCTCCTCTGCGGTAAGGGGGTTACCGCATGTTATGCGGTTTAATAAAACGACACCGTTTTACGTGTTTTTTGTAATTTTTTTTAACAGCCCTTGCCAAAAACGACGTCGTTTTTGGTCCTTCAAATCCTTCGACTCTGCACCGAAGCCTTCTCTCTCTCTTTCTCTCCATGTGAATTCCGTCGGCAACTATGGAGGTCCTCAACCCCAAAATCCCTACCAGCCTTGAAATTCTCTCTCGGATTCCAATAATCTCTCCTAAATTTCCCTCCACGGCATGGGGTAAGAAAAACCCATCAAGAGTCGGCATACCCATATCCAAATTGCCTCTACAGTCACCATTTTCACTATATCTACGCCTCTTTAGTTCCAGAAAATTCCAAATTTCTGCTCATTTTGGCTGGCCCACAACCCGTCGAAACTCTGAGAAAAAAGCTCAATGAACAACAACAAGAACGACAGCAGGTGCGTAATGGGTGAACTCGTCGTGGTTGGGGTTCGTGACGGAGACGAATTGGAAGAATGTGAAGTTGACGGTGCCGTTTTGGATGGAGAAAGTTGGGAATTGGACGGCTTCGACGGCAATGTTTGGGTCCTGGGGCTTGAAGACGAAGAAATAGATAGGATTTCAGATGCCACAGTAGGAAGAAGGCGAATGATTTGAAGGACAAAAAACGACGTCGTTTTTGGCAAGGGCTGTTAAAAATAAAATTGCAAAAAACACCCAAAACGGTGCTGTTTTATTAACCGCATGACATGCGGTAACCCCTTTACCGCAGAGGAGCCAGACCCGAGGTAAGAGCGAGAAGGCACGTGAGAGGAGCGGGAGTGATTTAAATCGTTCTCGTACTTTTTCGAGAGTTTCAAAATTAATTCTATCTCATTATTATAGATTATTGCAAAGATAGAGGGAGATAAAGTAGAGAAATTACCAGAGGTTGGGATAATGTTAATGGGAATTGGGTTGACAATGGATCCGGCTCCTCTGCGGCGAGGAGATTACCCATGAGATGCGGGTTAATAAAACGGCGGCGTTTGGCTGATTTTTGGAATTTTGTTTTATTGACCCTTATCAAAACGACGTCGTTTTAGTCCGGATAAAACCACAACTGAAATCCACAGCCTCGGGGACGATTTGAAGCTCACAAACCCATCTGAAATCCAGTCTCACAAACCCATTTGAAGCTCTCACCGATGAGATCGTATTCTCCATCATCGACAGCCTCGGGGATGATCCTCGAGGCAAAAAATCATTCTCTCTCGTATGCACATCCTTCCACTCCATTGAATCGCGTCACCGCAAAACCCTCAAGCCTCTTCGCGCCGATCTCCTCTCAAGAACACTGCAAAGATACCCTTTTATATCTCGCCTTGATCTCAGTTACTGTCCACGTATTGAGGACGATATGCTTTCGATTATGTCTACAACTTACAAATCTACATTGTTGTCGATTGATCTTTCATGTTCTAGATTTTTTACAAATGTGGGTTTGTCGAGTTTGGTCATGAACTGTTCAGCTTTGGTTGAGATTGATTTGTCAAATGGGACCGAGTTGATGGACTCGGCAGCGGCAGCGATTGCGGAGGCTAAGAACTTGGAGAGGTTGTGGTTGGCAAGGTGTAAATTGATATCAGACATTGGAGTTGGGTGTATAGCTGTGGGGTGTTAGAAATTGAAGCTGATTTGCTTAAAGTGGTGTTTGCGTATTAGTGATCTGGGTGTGGGTTTGATTGCTTTGAAATGTAAGGAGATTCGTAGTTTAGATCTTTTTTACTTGCCGGTAATTACTCTTCTCCCTTTTACTTTTTCAATGATAGAAGCTGTTCTCAGTAATTTTGGCTACCGGTTATTACCAAATCTCATATTGCATTGAGTTTCAAATTGAAGCCTTTATTAAGAAAAAGAAAACCAAATTTTAAAAAAGGATGTCTCTGTTTTTTTTTTAGCAAGTGAAAGCATCTATCCAACAGCAAATGCACTGAATAAATATATGGCATCACAAAATTTTCGCAAAATTCCAGAAATTCAGGCCATAGATTCACAAATGCATTTGCTTTCACTGAGCTTCAAGTCACAACGATGTGACTATGTGTATGAGAGTGGTAATTGTAGTTTATAGGGGCTCTGTATGACTTCTCTTTTACCATTTCTGATTGTATTATTAAATGATGAAAATGAGCCCAAAGATGGTCTTTGACCATGTCTATGGGAATGGTAACTGTCATTATGGTTATCTGTATGGAAGACTTTTCCAATTTCAGCAAGAAAAGTTGCAGCATGTATTGTTGACCGGGTCCGGCTCCTCTGTGATAAGGAGGTAACTGCTTGACACGCGGTTAAGTGGAACGGCGTCGTTTTACGGTGTTTTGTAAATTTTATTTTTATTGACCCTTACCAAAACGACGTCGTCTTGGTCCGGCTAAAAACCACATTTGAAATCCTTCTCTTACCTTCGGCTTCATTAGACTTAGGCGCTCCTCTCTCTCTCTCTCTCTCTCTCTCTCTCTCTCTCTCTCTTCTCCTACCTCTGGCAACAAAAAACCTCCTGCCTTCTTTCCCTCTCCCGCTGATCGCTGAGGAGTACATGACGCAACATACATTTAAGATTGAATGATTGCAGAAGAATATGACATTGCACTTGCTTAATTGAAAAGTAACTCTACAGATAGGCGAAAGCTTCCATCTCGGAAGGTCGTCATGTTGCTCTCATGGTATTCATAACATTAACCATCAGATTATTTAAATGATTGCTCCCACAGACCAACCCTAGCTCATACATGCAAATGACCCAAAACAGTAAATAGCTATTGAACACCAACATAGTTAAATTGAGAATATTAGTTGCAGTTTCTCAGTTTGAGGAAGTAGATAAACACACGTTAAAGGAAGCAATCCTGAACCTAATAGAGAGCTAATACTTATATGACTGGCGATAGTATATATATATAGTTAAGCCTATAATGGTTATCCTGATGATAGATAGAAAGCATAACCAGTGGAACTAATGTAGAAGTAGCTAGCCTTGTCCTAAATTGAGTCAGGCTGCTGATGGCACAATAATGTAGCTAAGAATACCAGTCTCTAAATGAACTGGAATTGTTGTTTATCCGTTGATGTGTTCTTATAATCCAACTGACTCATCTATGTATATTTTCCACCATTTTTCCACTAGCATCTTTATGTCTTCTCGCTGCATATTCAAAAAATTTGTTAATAGAGTGTATAATGTTTACTTTTAACATGAAATAGCATGTTAACAACTAACAAAAATAGGAACCATAACATGAATATTTGAATATGATTTAGAAACTCACAAAAGGTGGTTGGTTGTGTACTATCTAGGACCTCTTCAATATCGCAATTGGACTGAATAGTTGTCTTTCCAATACTGTCACCTATGAAAACCAAATTTGTTTTTTCACGCCCTACAAAAATTTCTACATTGTACACCCCTCTTCTAATGAAAATATAATATCTCTAGGGGCTGTACTTTTGGGCCACTTTGGCAGCTGGTGCTATAGAAGAAAAGCCCGCCCGCCCTTCTTTTGCAACGATGATCTTGTCATGGCACCAAGAGCTGACGATTATGTGTCTTAGAACAACCGCAATCTGCCAGATCAATACAGCAATGACGGGCAAAGTCATGATAATCTTTGCAGCTCTTGAAAAACTATGGTGGTGCAAAATGACTACTTGAGTACTCGGAGGAGAAAGAGGAGGTAAAGCTAGTACTGGAGGTGACTGGGGCATCTCTTATGGTGACTGTTGATCCATTTCCATTACAGAGAGAAGAAGGTGATGTTGATAATGGAGGTCGAGGTACCAGCAGGGGAAGCGGCAGAGTTTATAATAGGTTTTGTATTATAGAGGCACACACATACACACTTAGTTCTTTTTCTCTTGCTCAGGATGAATATATAGACAATTATTGTACAGATAGAGGGAGATAAAGTAGAGAAATTACAAGAGGTTGGGATGGTGTGAATGGGAATTGGGTCGGCAATACATGCTGCAACTTTTCTTGCTGAAATTGGAAAAGTCTTCCATACAGATAACCACAATGACAGTTACCATTCCCATAGACATCGTCACATCTTTGTGCTCATTTTCATCATCTGATAATACAATCAGAAATGGTAAAAGCAAAGTCATACAGAGCCCCTATAAACTACAATTGCCACTCTCATGCTCATAGTCACAGCGTTGTGCTCTGTTAGTCATATGGTAATGCAATCAGAAGCAGTAACAGTGAAGTCATATAGCTGGAATCCAAACTTGAAGCTCAGTGAAAGCAAATGCATTGTGACCCCAGATTCTATGAATGACACTTGAGCTCATATCTGATAATAAATAAGACTGCAATCTGCAAAGCCAAATACAAGCGCTCTCTCTGTTTGCCAGAGAAGGCAAAAGAAGTGTCCTTTTATGGAGGACGGTTCAGTGAGTTTTGCTTCTAAGTATGCATTAAAATCTTTTCTTTTCAAGATGGAATCATGTGGGTATTGTTGGGAAAAGACAAAGGCATTGGTGGAAGTAAATGGTCCGCTGCCTTGGGGTTGAATCCAGCCATGACCGTTTGTATTTCCGTAATCCATGTAAAATACTCGCCCATTCTTTTCAGATCAGATGGTGTTTTTTTTTCATTAAATGACTAATAGCATAGTTTCTTCCGTTCACTACAATTCTAAGTAGGACCAGGGACACGTGTCAATTTTTGATACGACACAACACAAATTAAAAAACATAGCAGTGATATTGAAATCTAATTTAGTAACCTAATTAGGGGTAACCTGTGTCAAAAAGTATGGTGTTATATGAAATGTTTTGTGAGAGATGTTGGTAGTCATTTGATAAGTTTATTTGAAACCGTCGGATAGATTTATTAAAATCTATCCCATTTGATATTATAGATTTATTTATCTAATCCACTATAACTCTAGAATTAACAGTGGATCATATTAAACATTGAAATTTGGTGTTAATATAATTGTTACAATGAAACAACATTATAAATCAATAAATTATATCAAATTTTTAGATCTCAATAGTAAATAACAGTGACGAATTAAACAATAAATAAATTAGGTTAATATCAAGCATGAATAGCTAAATTTTAACACGATAAATCCGTTTAACTTGTATTTTATGAAAAAAATTAAATTTTTTTAATATATATTTTTGGTATGAAATTGTACGAGTTATTGGGCTTATTTAGAGTTGATTTTTTTCGGTGAAAAGGTGCGGTTTAAAAAGTTTCGCAAAAAAGTCAAAATTTAAAAAGTCCCCCAAAATTGTTTGGAGTATTCTTTAAAAAAATGAAAAAATTAGAAAAGTTCGTTTGGAGTGACTTTCTAATTTTTTTTTTGGCTTTTTGTGTCAAAATAAAAAAATAATTATATGTGTGTAAAGATTATGCACAATGGTTCTCAAAATATGAATTTAAAATTTTTTTACGCCATTAATAATGTTTTATGAATATACAGGTTGATATTTTTTTATTTTATGTTGATATAAAAGTGTTTTGGGTGTGGGTATATTTTTTTAGATTTATTTGAGAGGATGAATATATAGACAATCATTGCAAAGATAGAGGGAGATAAAAGTAGAGAAATTACCAGAGGCTGGGGTGGTGTGAATGGGAATTGGGTCGACAATACATGCTGCAACTTTTCTTGCTGAAATTGAAAAAGCCTTCCCTACGGAGAACCACAATGATAGTTACCATTCCCATAGACATGGTCACATCTTTGTGCTCATTTTCATCATTTGATAATACAATCAGAAATGGTAAAAGAGAAGTCATACAGAGCACCATAAACTATAATTACCACTCTTGTGCCCATAGTCACATCTTTGGGCTCTGTTAGTCACATGGTAATGCAATCAGCAACGGTAAAAGAGAAGTCATATAGCTGGAATCCAAACTTGAAGCTCAGTGAAAGTAAATGCATTATGACCCAAGATTCCATTAATGGCACTTATGCTTATATCTGATAACAAAAAAGACTGCAAAGCTAAATACAAACTCTCTCTCTCTCTTTGCCAGAGAAGGCAAAAGAAGTGTCCTTTTATGGAGGACGGTTCTGTGAGTTTTGCTTCTAAATATGCATTAAAATCTTTTTTTTTCAAGATGGAATTATTTTTTGTTAAGTGACTAACAACATATATTCTTTCATTCACTGCGATTCTCAAGTTGGACCATGGGATACCTGTGTTAATTTTTGATACAGCACGAGACTTGAACACTACACAAATTAAAAATAGAGCAATGCTATTGGAACCTCATTTAGTGACTTGTGTGGAGGAACATCATCACAAGATATGACATACCTATGGCGTTAATCTCTAATAACGGAACCCAATTCAATAGTGGGTCGTTTAAAGCATTTTGTCAGCACTATGGGATCTGAAATCACTATTCCACCCCCGCATACCCACAAAACAACGGACAAGCAGAAATATCAAATAAAATGATTCTTGATGGAATAAAGAAGAGGTTGGAGAAGGCAAAGGGTAAATGGGTAGAAGAGTATCTCAAGTGTTGTGAACGTACCGAACCACGTTGCATCGCGCAACAGGGAAAACTCTATATGCCCTAGCATACAATAATAAAGTTGTGATACCTTTGGAAATTAGCCTCCCTACAATTAGAACTAACCTAGAAAATAG